ATAATTTCAATCTGTGGCACAGATTGAAATTACGGAGAATACGGTATCACAGAACAGTTTTTTTTCTTTGGATTTGCCGCAAGTTTTCAAACCTTGTTTGACATATCAAGGATAAATTGTGAAAGAAATGACCTGAGAGGAAATGGCAATAGAGAGCGTGAGTTGAAAATGTGAATGGTTCGAGTTGCCGAAGATAAAATTTCATTGAATGCGGTATTGAGGAAATCTATGGAAAAAATCGATTTGGGCTCGAGTTATAGTGTAAGGCTCGATGGATCAAGACTTTTCAAACGAAGCATCCGAAGAGAATTCCTGTTTAACCAGAAACAGATTGATGATATCATTGAATTGCTGTAATCCCACTGAAAATAGTAAAAAAGAAATCCGCGGTTACAATGTTCATATGAAAACTACTCATCGCCTACGCTTCAGATCGTTATGATCCGGGCGATTTCCATAACTTTATGGTCTAACACCTTCTCAATGAAAAAAATTAAAGGCTTGTTTGAGCTTCTTTGGTAGAGCCCGAGTTTATTTCCCGTGTAAGAGAAATTCTCTATAACTTGTATAAATCGGAGAGAGGCCTGGGCTAGTCATTAGTCCCACACGGTATCAGCAGGTGTTGTCAAAAAAGACAATGAGAAAGCCACTGATACGACGCGAGTACTCCTGTGTGTAAACTAAATATATTGTAAAGTCCAACTGAATTACTAGAAAAGGAGAGAAGTGGCAGAGGAAAAAAAAAGGTATATTTTAGAATCTACGAGCGGATGAGGGTGATAAAAATCGATTTTTCAGCGAGGAAAAACCAGGGTTACCGAGGTAATAATGAATTTTTACTGTCGTTAATTTTGATGTGAATTGATCCCGCATATATCAACAGAATTTTCAGGAGACGTCGTAGATTTACGATAAATCTATGAGATTAAACACAAAAAGGTTTTTGGTGTGATCCAAATTTTTCAGAAGACTAGCAAATTAGCATGGGTAAGATTTCTTTTATCAAACGTTTTCCCCAAATGTTGAATAATATTTGGAACTAGATCCTGTGGAAGCGTGTTTACATACGGCCAAAGCCCTCCGATTAAAACCACCGGGTAGAGAAATATCCAAAAATATATATATATATAAATACATATGCTAAATGTATCAGGATAACATTTTCGATCACACAAGATTGAAAAAAAATTATATCTGGCGGATAAGAAATATATAGTAAGACTAGGATACTTCGAGGATCGACGGAAATTTACATTTTGCGCAGACGATTGGCCACTGATGAATTCAAACAAGAAAGGTAATTTTGTTTTACATCATTTGGTTTTGATCAATTCTTCTACAAAGAAAGTTTCTATTTTTTAATGATTTCTCGCTATTTTTACCGCCAGATTCGTTTAGTAAGCTGTACAATCATTCAAACCAAGAATTTAGTCTTGGAAAATTAAAAATAAATCATTTGCACTCATATTTACCAACATTGGTGCCTCTAGAAGACCGGAAATCGAAAAAAGGCCAACTTCACATTCGTTGCATTTGTGATGCTGGTAATATGAGTTCGCACCTTTTTTTAAGACAGAAAACCTGCAAGTTCTACTGTTTGTTTTTTAAACAAATCAATTTTCTATTACGTATATTACGTCATCCGGATGACGCAAACAGGTTTTCCATGATTCATTCATTTTCGGCTTTTATTCGATCTCAACATCTTCCCCAAAAATAAATCCTTGATGTAAGTCGCCAAGAATTGTTTCCGCAGTGGTCCTAATCCTAAGAGAATATTGCTATAAATCCCTAACACTACAGCATTAAACAAACTTTGCCTTAGGCAGTATAGAAACGGGACAATCCCCACATCTGTCACCATGACGACAAGCCGACGAGCCAAGCCGGCTCGTAACGATGTACACCTTGACTCTATGCTCCTCCCCAGCCCCTTTCACTCGGCTTCACAGCATGTACTGCACCGTCATTGATAGCCTGCTCG